CGCCTTAACCGAAAAGTCCAAAGTCATGACCGGGGTGGAACAGTGGCCCTATCGTGCTGTGGCTCAAGCTCTGGAAGTTATTCCCAGGACCCTCATTCAGAACTGTGGTGCTAGCACTATCCGTGCCCTCACTTCCTTGCGGGTGAGAACATGCCTCTGATCTCCAGCAGTGCGAATTGTTTTACGTTGCACTCTTTGCTCTTTCTTTCTGGAAAGGTCCTTGTGATCATTGGGTGGAGAGGGATGGTGTGGCCATTGCACGGATAATGGCAGAGGGGGAAGAGAAGGGCAAGACAGATGATCTGTAGGAGATGACCAGGCTGAGGGAGGGGTCAAACACGTCGTTAGTCATGAGTCCCTGCGTGCCCATAAGAGATCTAAGTCCAGCCCATCTTGAATGCCTCTTTATCTCCCACTCATTTCCCTTGACGGTTAGTAGCTCAGATTCTTGTAGCGTGCTTAAGCTTGCAATAAATCTTCATACTCATTTGCACTGCCCGAATCTCCTGATTTCCCCGGCACTTCGCGTTATCTTTCTAAACAATTGTGGAAAATATCCAGGGTGGATTTGATTTAAATCGAGTTGATTTAAATCATGATTTAAATCACTACTAAAAAAGGCTTGATTTAAATCAACTCGATTTAAATCATAATTTTTAAAGAGCAGCTGTCATCTCTGCTACTCCTTTGACCCATTGTTGACTCAATGATAGTCCCGGTGTTGCAGAATATACAGCCTCGTGCTACCTAACTAAGCTCCATTTCATGCTGAATAAACTAAATTATTTATGTATCTTAAATAGAAAACTATCTTACAATATATTTTTACCCCAAAAGTTTTTTATTAAAATAAATTTGATAAAAATAAAAAAAATCCGATTTAAATCAAAAAAATCAGATTTAAATTAAAAAAATCAGATTTTGATTTTTTTTAAAAAAAATCATTGATTTTTATCCACCCTGAAAATATCTGACAACGAGCAAGAGGTGGGCAGGTGTCTGTGACCCCTTTGAAGTCATCGGGTGGCGGAGGTGAAACACGGAGGGGTGAGCTTCTGGGTTTGGGGCTGTTTTAACTCCCATTTCTTGCTCACAGGCCAAACACACTCAAGAAGGCAGCCAGACCTGGGGCGTCAATGGAGAGACTGGCGCCTTGGCCGACATGAAGGACTTGGGCATCTGGGAGCCCCTCTCTGTCAAGTTGCAGACCTACAAGACAGCTGTCGAGGTGAGAAGAAAGCATCCGTGGCCCAAGGAGGTCCTCTGGGAAGGCCCAAGACCTCCTTGACCCTTGACAGAGAAGCCTCATTGCGATGAAATCTCCCAGACTGCTTAAGTTGATGTTCTCGCATGTCCCTCAAGGCCTTCTAGACAGATTGAAAGTGGGGATAGGGATTTTGGAGAGTTATTATTGTCTTGAGTGCAGTGGCCTATAGATGGAGCTCTCACCTCACAATCAGGAGACTGTGAGTTCGATCCTAGGTAGAGGCAGATATTTCTCTCTCTGGGCACAATGAGAATATATCGTATTTTTTTGAAGTATGAAACGCTCCATAGTATAAGATGCACATTAGTTTTGGGGGAGGAAAACAAGGGGGGGGGAATTCTGCCTCTGCCTATCAGCATCCATCGGTATTCATCTGGCTAGCGTCCTTGCAGCAAACAGCCTGGTCAGTTTCAGCACATTATTGCAGCCTGATTCAGCACCAGCAGCTGATTGGCGGGTGGATCCGGAATGCCCCTAATCAGCTATTCCATTGCCACAGACCATTGCCACCACCGTGCCTCCTGTTTTTGGCCTCCGAACGCTCCGTTTTAGACCCGTTCCAAGCTGCGGGGATCGCTACGGTACATCGCCGCCTCTGCGCATCACGTTTTTGGTCTCCACACACCCCGTTTTTGGCTTCTGCATGTCGCGTTTTTGGGCGGTTCCAGGCGGCGGGAACGCCACCGCCGAGCCCCGCTGTCCTGGAACCATCCAAAAACGTGACGCGCGGTGGCCAAAAATGCGAGACGTGCTGTGGCAATTCCCACAGCCTGGAACAGGTCTAAAACAGCGTGCGGAGGCCGAAAACGAGACATGCAGAGGCCGAAAACGGCCAAAGGTTGGGCTGGCAAGTGGGCAGGGCTACATTCAGTGTATAAAACGCACCCAAATTTTCACCCTCTTTTAGGGGGCTTGGAGGGAAGTGCGTCTTATACTCCAAAAAGTACGATATATCTGCTGAATGTAACTCTGCATTGGCGACCGGAAGGGCATCCGGCTAGTAAACACTCAGCTCCATTCAGTTGCCCAGACTCCACCCCCCACAAGGGATTATTATGGGGTCATTACAAGAAGATGATTGCCTTCTTTCTGATGTAACCACACCTGCCTCCTTCCCTCCCTCCCCCAGACGGCTGTCCTCCTGCTGCGGATCGACGACATCGTTTCCGGCCAAAAGAAGAAAGGCGACGATCAGAACAAGCAGCCGGGAGCCCCAAACGCAGCCCAGGAGTAACGCAACTCCTTGGCGCAACAAACCTGGGACGATCGGAGGAGTCAGAAGAGTCGGAGCCCAGTCAGCATTTCAAGAGACGCAGTTCTTCAACCTCTGGATTCAAAGACGGTTGAAGCCCAAACACCCGATTTGGTTTTCTAGTTCTAGGTCACGGAGAGGAGGAGGAGGAAGGCGGAACGGCGGCAGCCCTGCGTGTTAGCATGTTTCCCTCGAGGAAACACGCTTTATTTAAATGTACTCCGTAGCTGCTTTGTGGCTTTATTAATAAAACAAAACAACACCCCTTCATGCTCATAGATTAAAGTTTCTGGTCGCTTTCTCCTGTGTGACACTTAGCAAAGCTTGGCAGGCAGGTGGTTGACGAGCAGCCCCCAGCAAAGGGCCAGTTACTGGTCTGGCTGACTGGGAGTCCTCGACTTACAACAGTTCCGTTTAGTGACCGTTCAAAGTTACAACGGCACTGAAAAACGGGTGACTTAACGACTGTTTTTCACACTGAACACTCCTTGCAGCGTTCCCATGGCTATGGGATGAAAATTCAGGTGCTTGGCAGCTGGATCGTATTTACGACGGTCGCACTGTCCCGGAGTTACGTGATCCACTTTTGGGACCAGCAAAGTTGACAGGGAAGCCAGATTCACTCAACAACCGCGTTGCTAATTTAGCGGTGATTCCCTTAACGACTCTGGCGAGAATAGTCATAAAATGGGGCAAAACTCACTTAAAACGTCATCCCGAGCAGGAAGTTTGAGCTCAGTTGTGGTCATAGGTCAAGGACTACCTATATTCTTAAAAGCTGGATTGTTACAGAAGAGAATGTTCATGCTTGGCTGAGGGAGATGGGATTTGTAGTCCAGTTCTGGAAGAGAATAGGTTGGAGGAAGCTGGAGTGCCTCTTTCCCAGGCCCGCAAATCAGGAATCGAATCCAGAGCCTTCAAACTTCATTAACTCTAGATCAGAGATCTTCAAACTTGGCAGCTTTAATACTTGTCGACTTCAACTCCCAGAATTCTTTGCTGGCTGGAGAATTCTGGGAGTTGAAATCCACAAGTCTTAAAGCTGCCAAGTTTGAAGATCTCTGATCTAGATGGACTCAATCGGTGCAATAAACTTGCCTGGGGAAGTGATGGCTGCTCCGGCTGAAAGTTGACTCAGCCTTACGTCTTTCCGAGGTCTGTGAAATGAGGACCTTGATTGTTGGGCGTGATAGCCTTAAAATTACAATAAGCTCAAGCAACAGATAGGGACAGACTTGGCGAAATGGGGAAATTTGCAGCTTTCTCTGGTAGGATATCAACTATTAAGATGAATATTTTGCCCAGAATTCTGTATTTATTCCAGACAAGTCCTTCCAATTAGATTGGGGAAAGAATTTTTTTGAAGATTTGAATAAAATGATGTTGAAATATATTTGGCAGGGAAAGGCGGCGAGGATAAAATTAAAAGTTGTTACCAGATGCTAGAATAAGGGGAGGTTTATTCTAGCATCTTGTAACAATTTTTAATTTTATCCTCACCGCCTTTCCCTGCCAAATATATTTGTTTTACCTAATTGGGGACTTTACTATCAAGCAACAAGCCTGATGTGGATTAAAGAATGGATAACAGAAATATTAGATAGGCTGACTCTTAAATGTCTTAGAGAGGGGCCGAAAAGCACTGTGAAGTGGGATTTAAGTCTTAAGCACTATTGCTCCATCACTGGAGGTTTTGATTGGACAGCCAGTTGTCCAGAGTGCCATAAGGTCTCGTGCTTTTTTTTTATTATTTGATTTATATGCCGCCCTTCTCCGGAGACTCAGGGCGGCTTACAGTGCGCTAAGCAATAGCCTTCATCCTTTTGTATATATTTATACAAAGTCAGCTTATTGCCCCCACAAACTGGGTCCTCATTTCACCTACCTTAGAAAGGATGGAAGGCTGAGTCAACCTTGAGCCTTGGAGAGATTCGAACCTGCAGTAATTACAGGCAGCTGGTCTTAACAGGGTGCTTTAGACCACTGTACTACCAAGGCTTGAGCAGGGGGTTGGACTAGAAGACCTCCAAGGACCCTTCCGATTCTATTCTGAGGAGGAAGGAAGGCTCTCCTGTTTGATGAGGGGCTTGGACCAGAAGACCTCCAAGGACCCCACCAACTCTTCTTCCGAAGGGTTTTCTGCCCAGACTAGTGGGTCAGACTAGAAGACCTCCAAGGTCCCTTTGTTATTCTAGGCAAGGCAAGAACGCTCCTGGCTTGGCTGGAAAAGCTCTCCAGAGCATTCTTCCCCCTCCTCGGCCGGGGGCGCTGCTCTTTGCCCCCTTCCTCCTCCGCCCGAAATCGAGCTTGAGGTGGAGACCCCACCCCTCTTTTTCTTCCCGTTCATTTGAGGACAAGGGCGAGGCTGGCTTTGCGGCGGCCCCTTTAAGAGAGTCCCCGCCCACTTTGGAGGGAAGCCCGGAAGGAACGCCGGCCGCGTCACGTGACGGCGCTTTCGCAACCCCGCCAGTCGGGAAAAACATGCTGGCGGCGGCGGCGGCGGCGGCGGCGGCTTCTTGGGCCGGCCTGGCTCTCCTCTGGGCGGCGGGCGGCTGCGCGGGGGAAGCGGCGGCGGGCGGCTACCGGAGGAGGGTAGGTGCCTTGGACCGCGGGGAAGGGGAACCGCCGGGCGGGCTTTTTCCTCCCCAAGAAAGGCTCGCTGGTGGGGAGCCTTGAACGCGGTTTTGCTTGGCCGGGGTGGGGGGTTGGACTAGATGACCTCCAAGGTCCCTTCCAAACTCTTCTTAATCTGTCTGTTTTAATTGCGAGGTAGGAAGTGGAGGAAAAGCGCTCTGTACATGCCCCGAGGGCGCTCTTGCCTTGCTCCCAGTCTTAGGGCGGGCAGGACATCCCTCGCTCTCCTCCCCTTAAAATGCGAACTACAGGTCGTCCTCGATTTACAACAACTCGTTTAGTGACCGTTGCAAGTTAACAAACGGGCACTGGGAAAAGTGGCTTTACATGGATGGCCATTTTTTTTTTTCCACGTTTACGACCTTTGCCGCATCCATCCCCGTGATCAAAATTGAGACCCGCTTGTCAAGTTGATTCATACTTATGACAGTCGCAGTGTCCCCGGGGGCTCACGTGATTTCCCCCCTCTGGCTACCTTTTTTTGACCCTCAAAAGTCAGTGGGGAAGCTTGGAAGATTCACTTAACAATTTATCAACGGAAGTGTTTCGCCTAACGACTGTGTTAAGCAAGGTCTTAAAATGAGGACACAAACAAATGTCTCGCTTTAACCACAGAAATTTTAGACTCGATTCTAGTCGCAAGTCGAGGACTGCCTGTAAACGATTCTGGAGGAGAGAAAGTGAAAGAGGAAGCTGGGACGGTGCGAAGGTTTAAGAGGCTGTTCACACAACTTTTACAACGCTGTGATCAGAGACGCTGGGCTGCTCAGGGTCAAGCATAAACCAAGTAACCCGGTTTGACGGGGCCTTAAAATATTTGAAACTTGTGATCAGTCCAAACCAGGATTCCTCAATCTTGGCCATTTTTAATAACTGTTGGACTTCAACTGCCAGAATTCCCCAACGAGCCCGATCAGAGTGTGAGAAAAGTGGGTGGGATAGAAATCTTACCAAAAAAAAAGAAATATTGCCAAACCCAAAGACTATTAAATCAGGGTTTCTCAACCTGGACAACTTTAAGCCTGGCGGACTTCAACTCCCAGAATTCCCCAGCCAGCAGCAGGCTTAAAGTTGCCAAGGTTGGAGACCCTTGATCTAAAAGGAAATTCCTTCAGCTTTCTTTTTTTTCTTCTTCTTTTTTTTTAAAAATAATTTTTATTGAGATTTTACATTTTAAAACGAAACACACAATAGCAAAAGAAGTCAAGAGACAAAAACACACATACACACATCAGACGTTAAAATACAATACTAACAACAGATACATACAATTTTACAACTTTCTGCATCGACTTTTGTCTTTCCTCTTCGCTTTTATCCTCCCGCTCCTTCTCTTTATTTTTAAATATTCATAATTAACTTGTTTTTGTTAGCAGGAACATTATTTACATTTATATCCAGTATGTTAATATCAAATTTCACTTTATATTCTTATTTCTTAATTTGATTTCTGTTTTCCAACCATGTATAAAACCTATTCCACACTTTATAATAATCCGAGTCTTCTCTTTCTTTGATCTCCATCGTTAATTTAGCCATTTCAGCTTTCTATATAAGTGGATCAGGCCCCTTCTCCATCCCAAGGCTGTCCCAGCGTGTGAGTAAAGAAAAAGGATTATGGGAGCTGGAGTCCTCTCTGCTAGGAAGGCATCAAGTTGGCACAAGCTCTTCCATATGCTGTACTTAATTGTACAGTAGTGGCCAAAATGGTGGAAACCTTTTGGGAAAAATGTATTTTTGAGGTTTGATGGCTAATAACACCACTTTTTATTTATGGAGTTTCAAGATAATCCTATTCCACAACTGGAATGGCCTGGGAATAGCCCAGACCTTCACCCAATGGAAAATCTATGGAGCCGACTAAAGAAACTGGTTAGTCAGAGGTGACCCAGCAATAAAACCCAGTTAATAGAAGCCATTATTCAATCTTGGTTTCACATTAGAACAGCTGCAGAACTGAAAGACTTGGTTCCCTCCATGGGAAGACGTTGTAAGGCCGTCATTCATGCTAAAGGTTACCCAATTTAAGGATTAACTGACAGGGTGATAATTTTTGCATATCTAATTTTTTTTATGTATTTCCTTTTTCTTCTTTATATTGTAACTGCTATTCTAATAGCAAACCCCTCATAAAAGTTATTGCATTACATTCTAGATTAAATTAACTTTCCATTGATAAATAATCTTATGGTACTACTCCAAAAAAAAGTGGTGTTATTAGCTAAGTTTTAGAAAACACACTTTTCCCAAAAGGTTTCCACAATTTTGGCCGCTACTGTATTTCCGTGGCTTTAAATCTGTACTTTACTAAACTTTATTCGATTTTTTAAAAATTGAATAATAGTTTGCGTAGCCCTCGTCCTCAACTCTGGACGGTTGACAGTCAAAAGGAAACAGCAAAAAAGGCAATGTTAAAACTATAAAACTAAGCACAGTAAAAAAGTATTAAAAACCACCAAACCCTGGAGCCAAGCCATACATTTGACGAGCAGTTATCTCTTCCCAGCTCTTGGGGAAAACCAAGTTCCCTTGATGAGCCTCGTGATTGTTTTTTTAAAAAATCCTGCCTTTATTATTTTGACAAATAACTCAAGGCAACGTACGTAGCTACTATTCCTTTTTCCTCCCCAAAACCACAATCCTGTGAGGCGGGTTGGGCTGAGAGAGAGGGTATGAGCGGTCCAAATTTACCCAGGGATTTTCAGGAAGTTGCATTAAATTGTTGATTTTTAGTTAGCAATCAACCCATGGAACAGAAGTTGCCTTCGGAAGTTGTGGGAGCTTCATCCCTGGAAGCTTTCAAGAAGAGACTGGACTGCCCTCTGTCAGAAATGGTGGAGGGCAGTGATGGCAAACCTTTTCGGCACCGAGTGCCCAAACTGGAACATGGGTGCATGTGTGTATACATGCGCCCGCCAGAGTACCAGAAACACAGAGACTAGTTGGCTGGCTCGTGTGTGCCTTTTGGGGGGCTGTTTTTCAGGCTGTTTTCAAGCCATTTTTCAGGCTGTTTTTCAGTGTGAAAAACGACCTGAAAATGGCCCGAAACCGGCTGAAAACCGGCCCCAAAACAGCCTGGAAACAGCCCAAAAAACGGCCTGGAAATGGCCTGGAAAAAGGCATGAAAACAGCCCAAAATGGCTGAAAACAGCCTGAAAAGCAGCCTGAAAATGGCCCAGAAAAAGGCCCCAAAACAGCCCAAAAAAATGGCCTGTTTTTTGGCCGTTTTTTGGACCGTTTTCAAGCTATTTTTCAGCTTGTTTTCAGGCTGTTTTTCAGCATGAAAAACGGCTTGAAAATGGCCCAAAAACTGGCCTGAAACCAGCTGAAAACCGGCGCAAATACAGCTTGGAAATAGCCTGGAAATGGCCTGGAAAAAGGCATGAAAACGGCCCAAAATGGCTGAAAACAGCCTCAAAATGGCCCAGAAAAAGGCCCCAAAAGCCCCAAAAAATGGCCTGTTTTTTGGCAGTTTTTTTGGCAGTTTTTTTGGCAGTTTTCAAGCCATTTTTCAGCTTGTTTTCAGGCTGTTTTTCAGCATGAAAAATGACCTGAAAATGGTCCAAAAACTGGCCTGAAACCAGCTGAAAACTGGCCCAAAAACAGCTTGGAAATGGCCTGGAAAAAGGCATGAAAACGGCCCAAAAATGGCTGAAAACAGCCCCAAAACAGCCTGAAAATGGCCCAGAAAAAGGCCCGAAAACAGCCCAAAAAACAGCCTGTTTTTTGGCTGTTTTCCGGCGCTCCAGCACTCGCAAAGCCCAGCTGGCCAGCGGGCATGTGTGCACCGGAAACCAGAAAAGCAGCTGGCGATGGCACGCGTGCCCACAGAGAGGGCTGTGTGTGCCACCTCTGGCACGCGTGCCACCGGTTCGCCATCACGGGTATATAGGGTCTCCTGTCTGAACGGGGCTGGACTAGAAGACCTCTAAGGTCCCTTCCAGCTCTATTCTGATTCTGATTCAGCCTTTTTGGGATAAGAAAGTGTGGGTGAGAGTTGCTGGTGCTTAGGGTTCCTCTTTTCGTCTGACTCAGAGCAGAAGGAAAAAAAAATGCTGTTTCTGTATTTTCCTCCCGGAGCTCCAGAAATTAGAAAAATGAATCATGCGTTTTCTCTTTTCTTCAGAAACTTCACCAGCGAATGAAATATTGGTCTCAGTGGTTCCTCATGTGACCCTTTTCTAATCCCCTTCCTTCTTTTTTTAACGTTTTCTATTTTGTAATGGATTTTATTGTTTTATCCAAGAATGAAATATATAAAAGAAAATAGGAAATTAGGGGAAGGAAAAAAGAGAGAAAGATAATGGAGGGTACAAGAGAAAAAAGAAAAAAAAAAGGCATTGACGTCCGACTCTTTTTAGCACGGTACAGTAGTCCTCGACTTACAAACAGCTCGCTAAGTGACCGAACTTACAACAGCACTGGAAAAAAAGTGACTTATGACCATTTTTCACACTCGCGACCGTTGCAGCATCCCCAGTGATTTAAATTTGGATGCTTGACACAAATGACTCATGTTTATGACGGTGGCCATGTCCCCGAAGGGAGGGGTGTCACGTAAACCCCCTTTTGCGACCTTCTGACGAGCAAAGTCAACGGGGAAAGCTGGATTCATTTAATAAACCTGTGACTCACTTAACCAACTGCAGTGGTTCGCTTAACAACTGCGTCAAGAAAAGTCGTAAAACGAGGTGGTAGTGGAAATCGCTCACCCACCCGCCCGCCCGCCCCGGCTCTATGCTGTTGTATTTATGCACGTTTTTGAGGCTGGGTGCACGTGCAAAGCGAGAGTACACGCAGCGAACCGGTGGTAACAAAATGTGAAACCCACTGCTTGTTGTAAGCCGAGAATTGTATCAAGGTAAGATACGACGTTTGGCTTTAGCTTTAGCCCCCTAGTTTACTAACCGTGATCCATGGCTTCGTGGCACCTGTTTGTGAAGTTAACTTGAGTTGTTGGTGCCAATCTCGTTGCAGGTCTCTCTGGAGTACAATCCAGGCTGGGCCAGCTCGGGTGTAAATCTTCTACACACTCGAGCGGTGGGCGTCAACGACACACTTCACTACATCTGGAGCACCATCGGGGTCCCCACGGTGTTGTTGGTGTATACCGCGAGCGACAACAGTTCCCTTCGTGTCAACTGGACCCGGCTTCTGTCCTCTTCTCCGGCTGGAGCCATCCGGATCGAACCGGCTGACAGTGTCTTGTATTCCACAGCGGTGGTCTTTCCAAGGGTGCGTCCGGCGGGGAGGGGGCCGAAGGATGGGGAGGAAGGCAAGGGGATACAGGTAGTCCTTGATTTACGAAGATTCGTTTAGTTACAGTGGCAGAGTGGTGCGGTGGCCTATAGGTGGAGCTCTCGCCTCACAATCGGGAGGCTGTGAGTTCGATCCTAGGTAGAGGCAGATATTTCTCTCTCTGGGCACAATGAGAATATATATGCCGAACAAAACTCCGCACTGGCAACAGGGACGGCATCCGGCCATTAAACGCTCTGCTAGCTCCATTCAGCTGTCCAGACTCCACCCTGCAAGGGATTATGGGGTTGTTAAATGATGATGAATTAGTTACAGTGGCACTCAAAAGAGTGTCTTACAACCTGTCCTCGCAGTTATGACCGTTGCAGCATCCCTACGGTCACGGGATCAAAATTCAGACGCTTGGCAGCTGGCATGTAATCCTCGATTTACGGCCATGATTGAGCCTCGAATTTCCGTTGATAAATGAACACAGGTAGTCCTCGACTTATGGCCACAATTAAGCCACAAATTTCTGTGGTTAAAGTGACTTTCCCCCCATTTTACGACCATCCTTGCCTCAGTTGTTAAGTGAATCACTTTGGAAGCCATGAAAGGTCTCCTGGGAGATGCTCGAAGCAGGCTGGCCAATCTAGTGCTCCCAGACATCTAATCCTATACAGAGAGTCCTCAACTTTATGGCCACAATCAAATCCAAAATTTATGTTGGTAAGCGAGACATTTGTTAAGGGAGTTTTGCCCCATTTTACGACCTTCCTGGCCACAGTTGTTAAGTGGATCATTGCATTTGTTAAGTTAGTTAACATGGTTGTTAAGTGAATCCGGCTTTCCCATTGAGTTGGCTTGTCAGTAGGGCGCCAAAACTGATCACACGATCCTGGGACACTGCAACCGTCATAAATACGAGTCAGTGGCCAAGCGTCTGAATTTTGATCACATGACCATGGGGGATGCTGCGACGGTCGTTAAGTGTGAAAAACGATCTTTTTTTTCAGTGCTTGTTGTAACTTTGAACTTTGTCACTAAAGGAACTGTTATAATTCAAGGACTCCCTGTATTGCAGCTGTGGGAATACGACGGCAGCGACACGTCGAACCTCTCCCTGGTCAAGGCGTGGCAGATCTACCCCAGCTACAACCTGGCTAACTTCACCTGGGCCAGCCTGGATGGGCGGCTGAACGAAACGGCCCTCAGCGCCGACTTCCAAGGCTCCGGCCCCGAAGGCGCCTTCGGGAACGGAAGCGTCTCTTTCAAGGTAAATTGGGCTGGCTTTGTGTATGTTGTGTGATTGTGTGTGCAGAGGTTGTCTCCTTTTTTTGGAAATGACGGTTGAATGATAGGTAATCCTCGACTTAAAGGTGAAGGTTCCCCTCGCACATATGTGCTAGTCGTTCCTGACTCTAGGGGGCAGTGCTCATCTCCGTTTCAAAGCCGAAGAGCCAGCGCTGTCTGAAGACGTCTCCGTGGTCATGTGGCCAGCATGACTCAATGCCAAAGGCGCACGGAACGCTGCTCCCTTCCCACCAAAGGGGGTCCCTATTTTTCTACTTGCATTTTTTTTTACGGGCTTTCGAACTGCTAGGTTGGCAGAAGCTGGGACAAGTCACGGGAGCTCACCCCGTTACGTGGCGCTAGGGATTCGAACCGCCGAACTGCCGACCTTTTGTTCGACAAGCTCAGCCTCTTAGCCGCTGAGCCACCGCATCCCTTAAAATCATCCACTTACAACAGTTCATTTAGTGGACAGTCACTTCAATAGGAGTCAGCTGTGTGCTGCGGCAGCCAAAAAAGCCAACAGATGGATAGCAGCAAGATCACATAAAGTGGTAGATTGTACTGCTCTTTACGTGTAGTCCTCGACTTACGACAGTTCATTTAGTGACCGTTCAAAGTTACGGTGGCACTGAAAAAAAAGCGACTTACGACTGTTCCCCCCCGCCCCCCAAACTTACGACCTTTGTAGCATGCCCGGGATCCTGTGATCAAAATTCAGACACGCTTGACAACTGACTCATACTTACGACCGTGGTTGTGTCCCATGGTCACCCAATCCCTTTTTTGTGACCTCCTCACAAGTAAAGCTAGATTCACTTAACAACCGGCTTACTAACTTACCAAAGTCAATGGGGAAGCCTAATCATGTCACTCACTTAACGACTGCCGTGATTCGCAGGAAAGGTTGTACAATGGGGCAAAACTCACTCCACAAATGTCTCGCTTAGCAATGAAGATTTGGGGCTCCATTCTGGTCGTTAAGTCGAGGACTTACCCGCATTGAACCCTTCATGGCCAACTCCTAATAAAGCAAGGTTAACGCTAACCAGGTTGGGAAGGAGGGAGGGAAGGGAAGGCTGGTGAGACTATGGTCGGTGGGGGTCGCCATCCACCTGCCACCCCCTCTCTGTCCCCCCAGGTGACGGCGTACGAGTCGGACAATCGCGACGGGCCTCTCCCGCGCCTTCTGCACAGTGCCAACAGCTCCAAGGTGGAATTCACCATGGAGAGGGTAGCGCCCCGGGGGAACCACTCCCGCTTTGCCCTGGAGATCCTGGCGGTCGAGGAGGGAAGCCGGGGGAAGCAGCTGCAGTCGGCCCGTTCCATCGATGACGAATACACCCCCACTATTTTTGAGGTATGGCCGCATCATCCGCTTTGCGTCCAGTCGAGCGTCTTTCTCTTGGGTTCTCGGGCCATCGTTTGGCCAACGGAGCCATCGCTGGCTGGATTCGCACGGGGCTCCAGGCTCAGAGGGGCTCCTCCCCGAAGGAGGAAGGGGACAACTTGCCACGACCAACTCGCCGCAGCCGACTCGTAGTAGCCAACTCGTCGTGGTTCAATTCGCTGCGGGACAACAGTCACGCTAATATCGAAGAAACGGTGGGATAGAATCGTGAGAGAAAGGATGCCGAAAAGGAGGGACCAGAATGAAACGTAAATGACAAAAATTAAAATATTTTTAAATTTATTTTCAATTATTCAATTGAATTGTCGAGTTGTCCCACAGTGAGTTTGTCCTGTGGCAAGTTGGTCGTGGTGAGCTTAATTAAGGAGAAACTTCCTCACAGTGAGGACCAGTGGAACAGCTCGCCACCAGAAATCATGGGCGCTCCATCAATGGATGTTTTTAAGAAGAGACTAGAGACAGTCACTTATCTGAAATAGTATAGGTTCTCCTGCTAGAGAAGGGGCTGGACTAGAAGACCTCCAAGGTCCCTTCCAGCTCATTCTTTCAATTCTGTCCTGCGGTGAGTTGGCTGTGGTGAATTGTCTACAGTGAGTTGTAGACCTCTCCCGAAGCTGGAGTTTCTTGGTTGCTTTACATCATCATCATCTTTTAACAATCCCATATAATCCCTTGCGGGGTGGTATCTCGGGCAACTGAATGGAGGCGAGTGTTTTAATGGCCGGATGCCGTCCCTGTTGCCAGTACGGAGTTTTGTTCAGCAGATATATTCTCATTGAGAGAGAGAAATATCTGCCTCTACCTAGGATCGAACTCACAGCCTCCTGATTGTGAGGCGAGAGCTCCACCTTTAGGCCACCGCACCACTCTTTCTTGGTACATGGGGGGGGACACAAAACAACCCCTCCCCCCCCAAGAAAATGGAGGCTAACAATGGCGTCGCGTTCCCTTTTTCCTTTCCTCTCAGATGGCTCAGCTGATCTCCGAGCCCCACAACCACAGCTGGGGCTCCAGCTTCCTGCAGTGGAAGACGGCCGCCTACAGCTCTAAAACCCCCCATCGGGAAGACACCGTCCACTGTCAGTATTACCCCCTCCAGACGGTCCGCAACCTCAGTTCCGAGTTCAGGATTCTCCAGGCTTACTTCGGGGAGGACGTCGAGCGACGCTGTAGCCTGTCTGCCCTCAATATCTCCTTTGGCGGCGAGGACAATGAAGCCTACAAAGAAAAGGGCTACTTGAGCTGGTGAGGATCCCTTTAGGGGGGTATTGGGGGGGGGGGTCTTTGCCGGAAGCCAAGGGTGGGGTGTCTCCATTCATTGTTGTTGTAACTTTGAACGGTCCCTAAATGAACCATTGTAAGTCGAGGACTACCCCGTCAAGGACTCATTTTTGGCACTCGGTGCCGTCGTAACTTCAAACGGTCCCTAAGCGAACCATTGTAAGTTGAGGACTGCCCTGTCAAGGACTCATTTTGCATCTGGTGCCGTAACTTGAATGGTCCCTAAGCGAACCGTTGTTAAGTCGAGGACTACATTGTAAGAACTCATTTTTATTTATTTATTATTTATTATTTATTAATTAAATTTCTATACTGCCCTTCTCCAAATAGGACTCAGGGCGGTGCACAGCCAAGGTAAAAACAGAGCATACAAAATTTAAAAACAGTATTAAAATAATTAAATATTTGGCCGTAAATTAAAACAACCCAATTTAAAATCAATTTAAAATTTAACTCAAGCCAGCCCAGCTAGTTGAAATAAATAGGTTTTCAGGGCCCGACGAAAAATCCGGAGGTCTGTTATTATACGTAACTCTGGGAGAAGGTTATTCCAGAGGGTGGGCGCCGTCACAGAGAAGGCTCTCCCCCTGGGGGTCGCCAGCCGACATTGTCTGGCGGACGGCACCCTGAGGAGGCCCACTCTGTGCGAGCGTACTGGCCGGTGGGAGGCTATTGGTGGCAGAAGGCGGTCTCGTAAGTACCCCGGCCCTAAGACATGGAGCGCTTTAAAGGAGGTCACCAACACCTTGAAGCGCACCTGGAAGACCACCAGGAGCCAGTGCAGCTCGCGCAGGAGAGGTGTCACATGGGAGCGCCTCGTCGCCCCCATAATCCCCCGCGCGGCCGCGTTCTGGACCAGCTGGAGCCTCCGGGTGCACCCCAGGGGGAGCCCCATGTAGAGAGCGTTGCAGTAGTCCAGGCGGGAAGTGACGAGTGCCTGAGTGACTGTGCGTAGAGTCCCGATCTAGAAAGGGGCGCAACTGGCGTATCAGGCGTATCAATCTTGGCAGCTTGAAGATGGGTGGACTTCAACTCCCAGAATTCCCCAGCCAGTACCACGCAGCTCCTAAAGAAACATTCACCCTTCTTCTCCTTCCCCTATACAAGGAACTGAGGGTTTAGCGGGGCTGTTCAAAAATTTGATTTTTCCATGCACCGAGAAGTGTTATGACTTCTTCTTTGGATAAAAAATAGGGGGACGGAACAAAATCAGTTATCTCACTTCCACTAAAATCAGAGGTCTTCAAACTGGGCAGCTTTGAAGACTTGTGGACTTCAACTCCCAGAATGCTCCAGCATAGCTGGCTGGAGAATTCTGGGGGTTGAAGTCCACAAGTCTTAAATAAGCTGCCCAGTTTGACGACCTCTGCGTTAAATGATTTTAATCTGAGATTGTTGGACTTCTCTCCATTGTCGTTGGCTGCAAAGCTGTGGGAGCTGCACGACGTTTGTGGGTATTTTTCCTCTCCGTTGGGTGGAAATTTACCAGCCTCGGATGCCCACCTCTTGTGTGCCGCAGCCCTGTGGGATCACACACACACACACTTCCTTCCACTCCCCTTGGCCAGCCTTCGCTGTGTGCTTTTCACACCAATTGTGTCTCCTTCAATTTTGTCCCAACAAAATTTGCAAGCTGCAGCTATCTAGAAAATGCTGCTGTTACCTGGGAGACCATGAAAGCTGCCTACATATTTATGTCTAGTTTAATGAAAAGGAGGACTAGGGGGTGATATGGTTGCAATGTCCCATTATCTCAGGGGCTGCCCCAAAGAAAATGGAGTGGGGGGGCTCAAGCTATTCTCCAAAGCACCTGAGGGCAGGACAAGAAGCAACGGTTGGAAACTAATCGAGGAGAGAAGCAACTTAGAACTAAGGAGACATTTCCTGACAGTGAGAACAATTAATCAGTGGAACAGCCTGCCACCAGAAGTTGTGAATGCTCCCACACTGGAAGTTTTTAAGAAGAGATTGGACCAGAGGTGGGTTTCAGCAGGTTCTGACCAGTTCTGGAGAACCGGTAGCAGAAATTTTTGAGTAGGTCCGAGTAGGTAGTAGGTAGTAAAAATTCTGCGTGGCCCTGCTCCCATCTATTCTCTGCCTCCCAAGTCCCAGCTGATTAGAGGAAATGGGGATTTTGCAGTATCCTTCCCCCTGGAGTGGGGAGGGAATGGGGATTTTGCAGTATCCTTCCCCTGCCACGTCCACCAAGCCACGCCCACAGAACCGGTAGTAAAAAATTTTTGAAACCCACCACTGCAGGAAACCCTCTACCATTTCAGACAAACGGTTGTCCAAATTCAGTGGTGGGTTTCAAAAATTTTTTACTACCGGTTCTGTGGGCGTGGCTCGGTGGACGTGGCAGGGGAAGGATACTGCAAAATCCCCATTCCCACCCCATTCCAGGGGGAAGGATACTGCAAAACCCCCATTCCCACCTCACTCCAGGGGGAAGGGTACTGCAAATCCTCCATTCCCACCCCACTCCAGGGGAAGGATATTGCAAAACTCCCACCCCACTCCAGGGGGAAGGATACTGCAAAATCCCCATTCCCACCCCACTCCAGGGGAAGGATACTGCAAAACTCCCACCCCACTCCAGGGGGAAGGATACTGCAAAACCCCCATTCCCACCCCACTCCAGGGGAAGGATACTGCAAAACTCCCACCCCACTCCAGGGGGAAGGATACTGCAAAACCCCCATTCCCACCCCACTCCAGGGGAAGGATACTGCAAAACTCCCACCCCACTCCAAGGGGAAGGATACTGCAAAATCCCCATTCCCATCCCACTCTGGGGCCAGCCAGAGGTGGTATTTGCCGATTCTCCAAACCAGAAAATCCTTTTGACATCTCTCTCTCTCTCCCTCCCTCTCTCTCTGTATCTCTCTGTCTCTGCCACTTCTCCCATCACCCGCCGTCGCCCTTCTCAGGCCAGGCGAGGAGTGACTGGGAGGGGAAGGCGAGGGGTGGGATCACCGGACAGGGAGCCACAGCAGAGGGCCCAAAGAGCCACATTCGGCTCTGGAGCTGCAGGTTGCTGACACCTGTCGTAGCTCATCTAGTCCAACCCCCACCGAAGCATGAACATGGCAGTTTGCGTCTTTTGGCTATAAAAATGCATATTTTTTTTTTCAAAATAAAAATACTTCGCTTTGCCAAATCTAGTGAGCAGGAGACTGAATCTGTAGCTCCTCTCTAAATTCCACAGTTTTAAACAAACATATGGTAAGAACAGCTGAAAACGCATCGCCCGTTCTGCCTTCCCTCCTACACTTGTACCTCTTATAAAAAAGGGGAATTATGCAGGGCTGGAACTGAGATTGGGTGTGATGGACAGCTTTCCAAAGAGCTAAAAGCCTGGTGCTTTCTTATCTGAGAACTTAATTGAAGAAAACATGCTGGGCACAGACTGGGTTGCCTGCTGGCATGTACAGTACATTTTTTGCCCTGGAGTCAGCTCTCTTTATTTATTTCCCCCCTCCCAAACCAACCTAATAATTTCTTCAGTCCCTTGCAGAGTCTCCAAAAGAAATTTATTCATGTTTAGGAGAGGGAGGAAGAAGAGGCAATCGCTGTATTTACAACAACAACAACAAAATTATTTGGCTGCAAAGTGAGAAGGTTATGTATAAATATCTGTATCTCTGGGTATATACAAACGAGGAAAAATATCAGACTTTTTTTCTCCCTTTCACATTCTTGGACCCTTGCAAGATGTCACCCTGGGTTGAGGGCAGGGATGGGGCTGAAAAACTTTAGCAAGGGGTTTTCTCTGCCTGGTAGCCGGGTGGATGTGGCCTACTCGGCCTCCTGCACCACAGTGGTGGTGGGGGGTGTTTTCGCCCTCCCCAGGCTCCGGAGGCTTTTCTCGAGCCTCCGGGAGGGCGAAAACAACCTCCCCAGGCTCCAGAGGCCCTCTGGAGGCTAGAAACGGGCCCGAACTTCCGGTAGGCCCGTTTTTCACCCTCCCCGAGCCTCCGTTCGTGCCCTGCACTTACCTGCATCCAAAACGGGGCGTGTGGGGACTCCTGGGAGGGGCAGGGTGGGCGGGGCCAGCCAGGAATGGGATTTGGGGGTTCTCAGAACTGCACCGAATCTTAGCCAGAGGTTCTCCCGAACCGCCAAAAGCCCACCCCTGGTTGAGGGGATAGATGGGGAAACTCATCAAATTTGCAGGTGACGCCGAGCTGGCAGGAATAGCCAGGAACATTCCAGAAGATGGGCTTAAGATGCAGCAGGGGAGGAAGAGATTGTCAAGAAGATATTAGATTGTGCGGAAAGAGATTGACATTGAAAATTAAAACAGAAAGAAGATGCAGATTTATTATCAAACATGGAAGCTATTTTACCAGCGGCTGGGGAAAAAAAGAGGTGGAGATGAAGAATGTAAATTTATAATGATATAAAGCAATAATTACTAGGGACGCGGTGGCTCAGTGGCTATGACACTGAGCTTGTCGATCGAAAGGTCGGCAGTTCAGCGGTTCGAATCCCTAGCGCCGCGTAACGGGGTGAACTCCCGTGACTTGTCCCAGCTTCTGGCAACCTAGCAGCTCAAAAGCACGTAAAAACAAAATTGAAAGTAGAAAAATAGGGGCCACCTTTGGTGGGAAGGGAACAGCGTTCCGTGCGCCTTTGGCGTCGAGTCTTGCCGGCCACATGACCACGGAGACGTCTTTGGACAGCGCTGGCTCCTCGGCTTTGAAACGGAGATGAGCACCGCCCCCTAGAGTCAGGAACGACTAGCACATATGTGCGAAGGGAACCTTTACCTTTACCTAAAGCAATAATTACCCAGACAACACGATATTGATTAAGCACTAAGAAATGTATTTAATAGAAATCCAATTTAAAAAAAAAATACAGAAGAATCTGGACAGATTTGAACATGGGGCACTATCTACCAAAATGAAATTCAATGTAGAGAAGGTTGAAGGTTCCACATTTAGGCAAGAAAAAACCAAATGCACAGTATAGCATAGGTGGTCCCTGGCTCAATAGTGGTAACTGTAAGAGGGATCTTGGAGTCCTAGTGGACAACCATTTAAATAGGAGCCAGCCGTGTGTTGCAGCTGCCAAAAAAGCCAACACAGTTCTAGGCTGCATAAATAGAGGGATAGAATCAAGATCACGCAAAGGGTTAATACCGCTTTATAATGCCTTAGTAAGGCCACACTTGGAATCCTGCATGCAGTTTTGGTCGCCACGATGTAAAAAAGATGTGGAGACTCCAGAAAGAGTGCAGAGAAGAGCAAGCAAGATGATTAGGGGACTGGAGGATAAAACATATGAAGAACGGTTGCAGGAACTGGGTATGTCTACTTTAATGGAAAGAAGGACCAAGGGAGACATGATAGCAGTGTTCCGATATCTCAGGGGCTGCCCCAAAGAAGAGGGAGTCAAGCTATTCTCCAAAGCCCCCGAAGCCAAAACAAGAAGCAACGGATGGAAAACTAATCACGGAGAAAAGCAAACTGGAATTAAGGAGAAAAATTCCTGACCGTGAGAACAGTCAACCAGTGGAACAAGAAATGATGAATGCTCCAACACTGGAAGTTTTTAAAGAAGATTAGACAACCATTTGTCTAATCTGAAATGGTGTAAAGTTCTTTCCTGCCCGAGCAGGGAGTTTGGACTAGAAGACAACTAAGATCCTTTCCAACTCTTGTCATTTTCTGTCTGGATCGCCAGGATACTAAAACGCAAGGATCTTCGCCTGTAGACGTTTTTCCCTAGAGACAGATTGTGCTGCTAAGATCGAAAGATTTTTACTATTTCTCACTTGTTTCCCAGGGCAATCAAGGAAGAACATTTCAAACTGTGCCGAGTGGCCAGTACATCACGTACGTGTTTCCTTGCTTCCTTCTGTAAAAATTATTTTTTTTAAAAAATCTGACGTTCCGCGAGAAGGAATCCCTGTTGAGGTTTAACAAGCCATCCTCACAATCTTGCTGTGTGTTAACATTTGCTCTTAGTTTTCCTGCCCAGCCAAGCTTCATTCAGTCCGTCCTTCTTCGCCCAAAGATGGCCGACACGCTGCGGATAATCTCCCGGATTCCCACCGTTTTCTTAGCGAACCTCTTCGAGTCCTGCACCATGTTGAGAAGTTCATGGAAGACCACCGAAGAACCGTGGTAGGTCTCGGCGGTGGAAATTTCAAAAAAGCCAGAGTTGGTGGACAGGGCCAAAAGCCGGCCTTCCTCGCTGGATACGGCCCGCTGGTGCGCCAAGTCTCGTTTGTTGCCCACCAAAACGATGGGCACCTTTCCCGCCCCGTTCCTCCTCTTTGAACGTCGGAGCCAATGGAGCTGATGACGGGCGAAAGCGAAACTGGCTCGGTCGCAGATGCTGTAGACGATAATGAAACCGTCGGCCCAGTGAAGCTGTTTCTCGTTCAGGTAGCTCTGGAGGTTGGCCATCTACGGAGAAGAATCAACAGAAGAGCTTATTAAAGGATGAGGATTGCAAAAGCGGCAGCCTATTTAATTCAACCACAAAATCGCCCGGGGCCAAAATTGAGAAATTACCACGGGATTCAGAACTGGAAATCCTAGTCCTCCTAGGGCCATGATGGCGAACAGAGGTGGCACACGGAGCCATATCTGTGGGCACGCGAGCGTTGCCATAGCTCAGCTCCAGCACGCATGTGCACGCTGGTAACTGACTTTCGGGCCTTCAGGGCCCACCGGAAGTTGGGAAACGGGCCTCCGGAGGACCTACAGGGAGGTGGGGAAGGCCGTTTTTGCCCTCCCCAGGCTCCTAGAAAGACTCTGGAACCTGGAGAGCGAGAAACATCTGTTTTTATAGTGCGGTGACCAAAACTGGATGCAGTAGATTCCTACAATGAGTGAGGGTGTGTGGCTCCCAAATACCCCTTCCCAAATCTAAGCATCAAGGGCCTAATGTAACTAAGAAGGAGATGGTCCTGTGGACTGGATAGGATTGTCAGTGTGTGTGCAAATGAGGACGTGATGCTTACCTGGGGGCAGGCCGAGTCCCAGATATTAAACGATGCTCTCTGGCCGGCCATCTTCACGTTGTGATTATAAATGGATTCTGGAGGTAAGAAATAAAATTAAAAAACAAAACAGTAGGTGACGAAGGGAGGAAGGACAGCAAAGAAAGAAGGGAAGGAAATGAGAAAGAATGGAGAGGTGCCACAGGAATGAAGAGAGTCACTTACCAATATTCCCGTATTCACCAATGAATCTTCGGGTCAGAAACCGAACAGTCAAAGCTGGAATGAAAGAGGAAACTGGTGTCAAGGCTGCAACTCTCCTGTCCAAGCTTCATGAGGTGACAGCCTAACATTAGCAACGGGGAGGGTGGGGGGGGGGAAGTCTTGCCTTCTGGTGCTTTGGACCCCTCTTCTTTGTGGCAGCCCCTCAATAAACAAGCTGCTATCGTGTCGTTCCTAGTCCTTCTTTTCTCTAGATCAGAGGTGTCAAACTTAAGGCCTGCGGGTCGGATCCAGCCTGCGGGGTGTTTATATCCAGCCTGGAAATAGCAAAGGACCGGCCCGCGATGCCTCTGGCAGCCAAAATGGGGCATGGGGCAGGGGCGGGTTACAAATCCCGCCGCTACAGGTTCGCTCGTGCGAGTGTGTGCGCTCGCGTGCGGCACTTCTGCGCATTTGCAGAAGCATCCGGGCGGGTGGAGTCTCCCACCGCCGCTACCAGTTCGCCTGATCTGATACGAACTGGTAGCAACCCACCACAGGGCCTTCACGCCTTGTTTTGCGCTGGTAGGGTGCTGCAGGAGGCCGTGCAGGCCGAAAATGGGGCGCAAGTGGGCCTCGCGTGGCTCCTCCGTGCCCCGTTTTAGCCAACAGAGTGCTGCAGGAGGCCATGCAGGTTGAAAATGGGGCACGGGGGATTCATGTGACACCCCCCCCGCATCCCATTTTGGCCGGCAGGGTGCTGCAGGAGATGTCTGTCCCATCTCCCCTTCCCCCCCACCGGCCGGAGAGAACTACAATGCTGATTCGGCCCTCAAAGAAATCCAGTTTGATACCCCTGCTCTAGATCAAACCAACCTAATAATTTCTTCAGTCCCTTGCAGAGTCTCCAAAAGAAATTTATTCATGTTTAGGAGAGGGAGGAAGAAGAGGCAATCGCTGTATTTACAACAACAACAACAAAATTATTTGGCTGCAAAGTGAGAAGGTTATGTATAAATATCTGTATCTCTGGGTATATACAAACGAGGAAAAATATCAGACTTTTTTTCTCCCTTTCACATTCTTGGACCCTTGCAAGATGTCACCCTGGGTTGAGGGCAGGGATGGGGCTGAAAAACTTTAGCAAGGGGTTTTCTCTGCCTGGTAGCCGGGTGGATGTGGCCTACTCGGCCTCCTGCACCACAGTGGTGGTGGGGGGTGTTTTCGCCCTCCCCAGGCTCCGGAGGCTTTTCTCGAGCCTCCGGGAGGGCGAAAACAACCTCCCCAGGCTCCAGAGGCCCTCTGGAGGCTAGAAACGGGCCCGAACTTCCGGTAGGCCGTTTTTCACCCTCCCCGAGCCTCCGTTCGTGCCCTGCACTTACCTGCATCCAAAACGGGGCGTGTGGGGACTCCTGGGAGGGGCAGGGTGGGCGGGGCCAGCCAGGAATGGGATTTGGGGGTTCTCAGAACTGCACCGAATCTTAGCCAGAGGTTCTCCCGAACCGCCAAAAGCCCACCCCTGGTTGAGGGGATAGATGGGGAAACTCATCAAATTTGCAGGTGACGCCGAGCTGGCAGGAATAGCCAGGAACATTCCAGAAGATGGGCTTAAGATGCAGCAGGGGAGGAAGAGATTGTCAAGAAGATATTAGATTGTGCGGAAAGAGATTGACATTGAAAATTAAAACAGAAAGAAGATGCAGATTTATTATCAAACATGGAAGCTATTTTACCAGCGGCTGGGGAAAAAAAGAGGTGGAGATGAAGAATGTAAATTTATAATGATATAAAGCAATAATTACTAGGGACGCGGTGGCTCAGTGGCTATGACACTGAGCTTGTCGATCGAAAGGTCGGCAGTTCAGCGGTTCGAATCCCTAGCGCCGCGTAACGGGGTGAACTCCCGTGACTTGTCCCAGCTTCTGGCAACCTAGCAGCTCAAAAGCACGTAAAAACAAAATTGAAAGTAGAAAAATAGGGGCCACCTTTGGTGGGAAGGGAACAGCGTTCCGTGCGCCTTTGGCGTCGAGTCTTGCCGGCCACATGACCACGGAGACGTCTTTGGACAGCGCTGGCTCCTCGGCTTTGAAACGGAGATGAGCACCGCCCCCTAGAGTCAGGAACGACTAGCACATATGTGCGAAGGGAACCTTTACCTTTACCTAAAGCAATAATTACCCAGACAACACGATATTGATTAAGCACTAAGAAATGTATTTAATAGAAATCCAATTTAAAAAAAAAATACAGAAGAATCTGGACAGATTTGAACATGGGGCACTATCTACCAAAATGAAATTCAATGTAGAGAAGGTTGAAGGTTCCACATTTAGGCAAGAAAAAACCAAATGCACAGTATAGCATAGGTGGTCCCTGGCTCAATAGTGGTAACTGTAAGAGGGATCTTGGAGTCCTAGTGGACAACCATTTAAATAGGAGCCAGCCGTGTGTTGCAGCTGCCAAAAAAGCCAACACAGTTCTAGGCTGCATAAATAGAGGGATAGAATCAAGATCACGCAAAGGGTTAATACCGCTTTATAATGCCTTAGTAAGGCCACACTTGGAATCCTGCATGCAGTTTTGGTCGCCACGATGTAAAAAAGATGTGGAGACTCCAGAAAGAGTGCAGAGAAGAGCAAGCAAGATGATTAGGGGACTGGAGGATAAAACATATGAAGAACGGTTGCAGGAACTGGGTATGTCTACTTTAATGGAAAGAAGGACCAAGGGAGACATGATAGCAGTGTTCCGATATCTCAGGGGCTGCCCCAAAGAAGAGGGAGTCAAGCTATTCTCCAAAGCCCCCGAAGCCAAAACAAGAAGCAACGGATGGAAAACTAATCACGGAGAAAAGCAAACTGGAATTAAGGAGAAAAATTCCTGACCGTGAGAACAGTCAACCAGTGGAACAAGAAATGATGAATGCTCCAACACTGGAAGTTTTTAAAGAAGATTAGACAACCATTTGTCTAATCTGAAATGGTGTAAAGTTCTTTCCTGCCCGAGCAGGGAGTTTGGACTAGAAGACAACTAAGATCCTTTCCAACTCTTGTCATTTTCTGTCTGGATCGCCAGGATACTAAAACGCAAGGATCTTCGCCTGTAGACGTTTTTCCCTAGAGACAGATTGTGCTGCTAAGATCGAAAGATTTTTACTATTTCTCACTTGTTTCCCAGGGCAATCAAGGAAGAACATTTCAAACTGTGCCGAGTGGCCAGTACATCACGTACGTGTTTCCTTGCTTCCTTCTGTAAAAATTATTTTTTTTAAAAAATCTGACGTCCGCGAGAAGGAATCCCTGTTGAGGTTTAACAAGCCATCCTCACAATCTTGCTGTGTGTTAACATTTGCTCTTAGTTTTCCTGCCCAGCCAAGCTTCATTCAGTCCGTCCTTCTTCGCCCAAAGATGGCCGACACGCTGCGGATAATCTCCGGATTCCCACCGTTTTCTTAGCGAACCTCTTCGAGTCCTGCACCATGTTGAGAAGTTCATGGAAGACCACCGAAGAACCGTGGTAGGTCTCGGCGGTGGAAATTTCAAAAAAGCCAGAGTTGGTGGACAGGGCCAAAAGCCGGCCTTCCTCGCTGGATACGGCCCGCTGGTGCGCCAAGTCTCGTTTGTTGCCCACCAAAACGATGGGCACCTTTCCCGCCCCGTTCCTCCTCTTTGAACGTCGGAGCCAATGGAGCTGATGACGGGCGAAAGCGAAACTGGCTCGGTCGCAGATGCTGTAGACGATAATGAAACCGTCGGCCCAGTGAAGCTGTTTCTCGTTCAGGTAGCTCTGGAGGTTGGCCATCTACGGAGAAGAATCAACAGAAGAGCTTATTAAAGGATGAGGATTGCAAAAGCGGCAGCCTATTTAATTCAACCACAAAATCGCCCGGGGCCAAAATTGAGAAATTACCACGGGATTCAGAACTGGAAATCCTAGTCCTCCTAGGGCCATGATGGCGAACAGAGGTGGCACACGGAGCCATATCTGTGGGCACGCGAGCGTTGCCATAGCTCAGCTCCAGCACGCATGTGCACGCTGGTAACTGACTTTCGGGCCTTCAGGGCCCACCGGAAGTTGGGAAACGGGCCTCCGGAGGACCTACAGGGAGGTGGGGAAGGCCGTTTTTGCCCTCCCCAGGCTCCTAGAAAGACTCTGGAACCTGGAGAGCGAGAAACATCTGTTTTTATAGTGCGGTGACCAAAACTGGATGCAGTAGATTCCTACAATGAGTGAGGGTGTGTGGCTCCCAAATACCCCTTCCCAAATCTAAGCATCAAGGGCCTAATGTAACTAAGAAGGAGATGGTCCTGTGGACTGGATAGGATTGTCAGTGTGTGTGCAAATGAGGACGTGATGCTTACCTGGGGGCAGGCCGAGTCCCAGATATTAAACGATGCTCTCTGGCCGGCCATCTTCACGTTGTGATTATAAATGGATTCTGGAGGTAAGAAATAAAATTAAAAAACAAAACAGTAGGTGACGAAGGGAGGAAGGACAGCAAAGAAAGAAGGGAAGGAAATGAGAAAGAATGGAGAGGTGCCACAGGAATGAAGAGAGTCACTTACCAATATTCCCGTATTCACCAATGAATCTTCGGGTCAGAAACCGAACAGTCAAAGCTGGAATGAAAGAGGAAACTGGTGTCAAGGCTGCAACTCTCCTGTCCAAGCTTCATGAGGTGACAGCCTAACATTAGCAACGGGGAGGGTGGGGGGGGGAAGTCTTGCCTTCTGGTGCTTTGGACCCCTCTTCTTTGTGGCAGCCCCTCAATAAACAAGCTGCTATCGTGTCGTTCCTAGTCCTTCTTTTCTCTAGATCAGAGGTGTCAAACTTAAGGCCTGCGGGTCGGATCCAGCCTGCGGGGTGTTTATATCCAGCCTGGAAATAGCAAAGGACCGGCCCGCGATGCCTCTGGCAGCCAAAATGGGGCATGGGGCAGGGGGCGGGTTACAAATCCCGCCGCTACAGGTTCGCTCGTGCGAGTGTGTGCGCTCGCGTGCGGCACTTCTGCGCATTTGCAGAAGCATCCGGGCGGGTGGAGTCTCCCACCGCCGCTACCAGTTCGCCTGATCTGATACGAACTGGTAGCAACCCACCACAGGGCCTTCACGCCTTGTTTTGCGCTGGTAGGGTGCTGCAGGAGGCCGTGCAGGCCGAAAATGGGGCGCAAGTGGGCCTCGCGTGGCTCCTCCGTGCCCCGTTTTAGCCAACAGAGTGCTGCAGGAGGCCATGCAGGTTGAAAATGGGGCACGGGGGATTCATGTGACACCCCCCCCGCACCCCATTTTGGCCGGCAGGGTGCTGCAGGAGACGTCTGTCCCATCTCCCCTCCCCCCCCCCCCCACTGGCCGGAGAGAACTACAATGCTGATTCGGCCCTTGAAGAAATCCAGTTTGTTACCCCTGCTCTAGATGAACCATACCAAATTTCGGGTCAGGATAGATTAAAAAAATCGATGGATTTTTTTTTAATTTTTTGTTTTTTTAAAAAAACAGATTTTTAAAAATTTAAATCGGCCTTTTCTGATTTAAATCAAATTTATTTTAATCAAATGCTTTTGGAGTAAAAAAAAATCTATCTAAAGATAGTTTTCTGTTCAAGATATATTCATAATTTAGTTTATTCAGCATGAAATGGAGCTTAGTTATGTCGCACGAAAGGCTGTATATTCTGAATATCGGGTGAGTCAACGGCGGGACAGAGACGACAGCTGCTCGTTAAAAATTCTGATTTAAATCGAGTTGATTTAAATCAAGCCTTTTTAACTAGCGATTTAAATCATGATTTCAATCGACTTGATTTAAATCAAATCCACCCTGTTCTGGTTTTTAAAAAAAAAACTGATAAAAATTGGGTAAAAATACACCATTCTGGGTAAAAAAAACCATTAAAAATGGATAAAAATACCCAGTTTTGGGTTTAAAAGAAGAAAAAAAAAACTGATCAGGGCTTGGTTTTATTTTATTTTTTTTCTTTTTGCTTACTGCAATGAGGCATCCATTCATGGACGCCCCCAACAAAATGACTCATAATTCAGCATTTAAATCAGCTGGGTTCCAGAAGGCTTGTATGGCTTAATTTAGTTAGATTCCCACCAGGTCTATACAAGGCAAAACGTACCTCTTAACTCTCAGGGAGCTTGGTTAAAACATATCACCCAGGTAACCTTTGAGTAGGTGACGGACCAGAACTGAAAAATCAAAATTGTAGCTCAATCTTTCACTTAGCAACCCATCTTTACGCATGGAAACCGTTCTTTGGGGTATAGGTGCTTTCCTGGAAAACCCAAAATCTCCCTGTCTTCAGGCATTTACTAACAAGATCGGAGGAAATGAAAAAGCAGTTTTTTTTAAAAACAAACAAACAACCAGCCATGGAATGCAGGTAGTCCTGGACTTACAACCACAATTCAGCCCGAAATTTTCCGTTGTGAAGGGAGGCATTCCTTAAACGAGTTTTGTCCCATTTTTATGACCTTCCTTTGCCGCAACTGTTCAGCGAATGGCTGCCGTTGTTAAGTTAGTACCGTGTTTCCCCGAAAATAAGAACCTGTCTTATATTTTTTTGAACCCTGAAATAAGCACTTGGCCTTGTCATGCGCTCTAAAACCCGATTGGGCTTATTATCAGGGGATGTCTTATTTTGGGGGAAACAGGGTATCTATATCTATATCTATATCTATATCTATATCTATATCTATATCTATATCTATATCTATATCTATCTATCTATCTATATCTATCTATCTATCTATCTATCTATCTATCTATCTATCTATCTATCATCTATCTATCTATCTATCTATCTATCTATCTATCTATCTTTCTCTCCCTCTAATCCATCTGTCTGTCTGTCTATCTACCTACCTACCTACTCTCCCTCTAATCCGTCTGTCTGTCTGTCTGTCTGTCTGTCTATCTATCTATCTATCTATCTATCTATCTATCTATCTATCTATCTATCCTCTCTCCCTCTAATCCATCTGTCTGTCTATCAACCTATCTACTCTCCCTCTAATCCTTGTCTGTCTGTCTGTCTGTCTGTCTATCTATCTACCTACCTACTCTCCCTCTAATCCGTCTGTCCGTCTATCTCTTCTTCCCTCTAATCCGTCTCTGTCTGTCTGTCTATCATCTATCTATCTATCTATCTATCTATCTATCTATCTACCTATATCTATCTTCTCTCCCTCTAATCCATCTGTCTGTCTGTCTATCTACCTACCTACCTACTCTCCCTCTAATCCGTCTGTCCGTCTGTCTGTCTATCTATCTATCTATCTATCTATCCTCTCTCCCTCTAATCCATCTGTCTGTCTATCTATCAACCTATCTACTCTCCCTCTAATCCTTGTCTGTCTGTCTGTCTATCTACCTACCTACCTACTCTCCCTCTAATCCCGTCTGTCCGTCTATCTCTTCTCTCCCTCTAATCCGTCTGTCTGTCTATCATCTATCTATCTATCTATCTATCTATCTATCTATCTATCTATCTATCTATCTATCTATCATCTATCTACCTATATCTATCTTCTCTCCCTCTAATCCATCTGTCTGTCTGTCTATCTACCTACCTATCTACCATGTTCCCCTGAAAATAAGACCCTGTCTTATATTTTTTTGAGCCCCAAAATAAGCGCTTGGGCCTTATTTTCGGGGAGGTCTTATTATTTTGGGGCGCGTGGAGCAAGACGGGGCTCCTCTTGCCTTCTTACCTGATTTCCAGCTCTGCATTTAAATATTTTCGGGGAGGGCTTATTTTCAGGGGAGTGGGTTATTTTAGCACATGCGCTCAAAAGCCCGATTGGGCTTATTATCGGGATGTCTTATTTTGGGGGAAACGGGGTAAATACGGTTCTTAAGTGAATCCGGCTTTCCCCCGTGGACTTTGTCAGAAGGCCGCAAAAAAAGGGGATCAAATATGACCCCCGGGGACACTGCACAACCGTCATAAATACGAGTCCAGTTGCCAAGCGTCTGAATTTTGATCACGGGACCATGGGGATGGCGCAACGGTTGTAAAAGTGAAAAACGGTCATAAGTCCGTTTTTTTCCGGTGCCGTTGTAACTTTGAATGGTCACTAAATGAACTGTTGTAAATCGAGGACAACTTGTAGTGGCACAAATCTTGCTCCTTTCTCTCCTCTCAGCTTTATTCCAAGGGATTCAAGTCAGTCATCCGGGACAGCCTGTCCCCCGGGGGTTTTTTTGCCCTTACGTACCACAACCCTGTAAGGTAGGCAGGAAAGCGAGATAAAAGGTCCTCCTGCCACCCACTGAGATGCCTTCTGCAACCTCGGCCTTGACACGATGCCCCACAAGTCAGGGTTTATACAACCCATTTTTGGCTTCATAAATAGAGGCATAGAATCAACATCACGTAAAATATTAGTACCGCTTTATAAAGCCTTAGTAAGGGCCACAGCTGGAATCCTGCGTCCAGTTTTGGTCCCCACATTACAAAAAAAAGAGGTTGAGACTTTGGAAAAAGTCCAAAATGAGCAAAACTGAGATGATTAGGGGACTGGAGGTTAAAACATACAAAGAACGGTTGCAGGATTTGGGTATGTCTAATCTAGAGAAGGTGGCTCAGTGGCTAAGATGCTGAGCTTGTCGATCAAAAGGTCGGCAGTTCAGCGGTTCGAATCCCTAGTGTGCCGCGTGATGGGGTGAGCTCCCGTGACTTGTCCCAGCTTCTGCCAACCTAGCAGTTTGAAAGCAGGTAAAAAAAAAATGCAAGTGGAAAAATAGGGACCACCTTTGGTGGGAAGGGAACAGCATTTTCCGTGAGCCTTTGGCGTTAGTCATGCCGGCCACATGACCACGGAGACGTCTTCAGGCAGCGCTGGCTCTTCAGCTTTGAAACAGAGATGAGCAGCGCCCCCTAGAGTCAGGAACGATTAGCACGTATGTGTGAGGAGAACCTTTACCTTTAGTCTAGAGAATGATTAGTAGTCTTCCAACATTTGAGGGGCTGCCACAAAGAGGAGGGGGTCTCCTCTCTCTCCGAAGCACCCAGAAGGCAGGACAAGAAACAATGGATGGAAACTAATCAAGGAGAGGAGCAACCTGGAATGAAGGAAAAACTTCCTGATAGGGAGAACAATTAGCCAGTGGAACAGCGTGCCACCAGAAGTTGTGGGCGCTCCAACCCTTAAGACTTTAAAGAAGAGATTGGACAGCCGTTAGTGTGGGATAGTCTGGGATGTCGTGCTTAGTTAGGGGGCTGGACTAGAAGACCTCCCAAGGTTCCTTCCACCTCTCTTATTCTGTTAATTAACCAGTGGAACAGCTTGCCACCAGAAGCCGTGGGTGCCTCCATCACTGGACGTTTTTAAGGACAGACTGCCTGAAATGGTAGAGGGTCCGTTACTTGAGCCAGGGGGCTGGACTAGATGACCTCTAAGGTCCCTTCCAACTTTTATTCCGAGGAGGAGAGAAGGGTCTCCTGCTTGAGGCAGGGGGTTGGACTAGAAGACCTCCAAGGTCCCTTCCAGCTCTATTCTGATTGATTGATATGATCTAGGGTCTCCTGCTTAAGCCGGGGGGGCTGGACTAGATGACCTCCAAGGTCCCTTTTCCAGCTCTGTTCTGACCGATGGGTTCCCGCCCCAGGGAAGACATGCGGTCCCAGTGGCATTCCCACGCTGGCTGGGGAGGATGGTCGTTGTAGTCTGAGCGCGCACGGCTCAGGTTAAGGGAAAGTGCCGTCCGCAGAAACGAGCTCAGCTGCCCCGTGGAGCAGCTCCGGCGCCGGGCTAAGAGATCGCTCCGGAGCTGCGGAGGCAACTTACCCGATTTCCCCACTTTCTCCGCCCCGATGACCAGGACGTTGGCTTCCAGTTTGGGCAAGGTCCCTCCGGGCATCTTCCCGGCTTGTCGGAAAGCCGTCTTCAGTTGCACCAACATGGCAAAGCGGGCGAGAGAAGCGGAGGCGGAGGAGGAGGAGGAGGAGAAGCGCACCTGACGACGCCACCTGCTGCCCGGCGACTCTGGCTGTGCACGCGGAGCCGGCCGGGCTTTTTATACCGGGGGAGGAGCCTCCGGCCAGAGTGGGCGGAGACGGCCACGCCCCTCGTCAAGCGAGGGGCAGCAGCACGTGAGCCAAGCAGAAATTGG